ATACATATATTGTACATATATCAATATATATTAAGAACATGCACATTCTGTCACAATGCAGGCAGGAATGAAGCAGAGATTGAACAATCTATGAAATTATATGTATGTATATATACAAGTATATATATATATATATATATACAGTATATAATATATATATATATATATATATATATATATATATATATTATATATATATATATATATATATATATATATATGTATGTATATATATGAAGAGTTCAGATGCAAAAGCCTCTAAATGCCATTTGAAATTTTCTTCTTTAATGATGATTTTTATCAAACTTGTATATTTAAGTTCAGTAATTTCACTTAAATGGCAATGATAATTACCTATTAATTGTTATTTAAAGGGATACTCCACCGGGTTTTCATATTAAACTATGTTATTCCCTTAACTAAGACGAGCTGATGCATACCTCTCTCGTCTCAGTGAGTGCACTCTATCGCTCTGTATTGCCGCAAAACAATGTTAGCACTTAGCTTAGCCCAGTGCATTAAATATGGGCCAAAAAGAGAAGCGACAAAACACTTCCTCGTTTTCCCTATTTAAACACAGTTACTCGATTAGTGTAACTCGACCTAGGCTGGTGACACAAAATAAAACGTTGTGTTTTTCTAAGCGTTTAAAATTGATGACTATATTGTATGGCGGAATACCATAAAAAAGTGCTTTAGAGCACTTCGACTTGGCGCAATAATACCTTCACTCGTGAAAAGTCCTCTTACCGGCTTCCTCGCTCTCCCCCTCCCTCTTATTTCCGTCAATGCAGCCAACGTGACATGCGACAAAGCGGGAGCCGGTAAGAGGACTTTAGTTGACTTTTTTCCACCTTAGAAACATTGCTAAGCTACGTAACATGCTATCTGTTTCTGATGCAGAAAAATTAGTTCACGCATTCATGACCTCGAGACTAGATTACTGTAATGCTTTATTAGCTGGTTGTCCTGCATCATCAATAAACAAGCTACAGTACAAAATGCAGCTGCTAGAGTTCTTACTAGGTCAAGAAAATATGATCATATAACACCGATTTTATCATCTCTACACTGGTTACCTATTAAGTACCGCATCAACTACAAAGTACTACTACTGACCTATAAAGCCCTAAATGGTTTAGCTCCTATGTACTTAACGGACCTTCTTTCGCCCTACAATCCACCGCGTTCCTTAAGATCACTAAATTCAAGGCTTCTGGTCATTCCTAGGATATCGAAGTCCAGTAAATCTCTGGAATAGCCTTCCCGATACGGTCCGAGGCTCTGACTCGCTGACACAGTTTAAAACTAGATTAAAGACGCATCTCTTTAGTCAAGCATTCACATAATGCTTACCTTCTAGTCCTCTGTTATGCCAACGGAACCGTTTGCCACTGAAACTGCTTAACGCACCAGTGGGGCTCGACAGCCTCTTAGACAAACGGGTCGGCGCGTATGGTTGGGTTTGCGGAGAGTTCAGGTTACGGAGAGTTTGTGAGTTATAACGGAAATCATTAGAACATCAGCTATGCTAATTATTTCCCATCTGCCTTTCTGCTGTTATCTCGGGACGCTTGCCCGAGAAAAATGGCGTTCGTCAGTCCAGTTTTGTGTCCAGCCTCTCACGGGGATTTCGATGCCCCAACGCCTGTGATGAGACGACTCAACGCCTGCGATATGTTATGGCGCCGTTTGATTCATAAACAATATTTATATTTAATATTTATATTTAAACAATATGAATGTAAGCCAGAGGAGAACTGGCCCCCGACTGAGCCTGGGTTCTCCCAAGGTTTTTTTCTCCATCCAATCTGATGGAGTTTTGGTTCCTTGCCACTGTCGCCTTGCTTTTGGCTTGCTTTGAGCTTGCTCAGTTGGGGTTATTTAGTGTTTATCAATGTTGTTGATCTGTGTTGTGCTACTTACATGTTATCACTGTGAAGCTGCTTTGATACAATCTGTATTGTGAAAAGCGCTATATAAATAAATGTGACTTGACTTGACTTGACCTTGCCTGTACTTTGGATTATCCTGTTCAACAAAAACTGCA